AAAAGGGGAATTTCTTCAGCCTGCCTGCGGTACATTGTAGCGTCTCTCCCCTGAGAAAGCTGGTGCAGAACCCCTGGGCCTTCACTTTGTGTTGTCATTGGGCCAAACCGGGACAAGATATGTTTGGAAGTTTCTTCCTGCCCTGCTGTGTGCTGCCGCTTGGCTGGGGGGGCAGCAGAGCAGAAACTCGCTCTTGGCATCTGAGAAAGCAGCAGGTGACAGCAGTTACCATGGGGTGGGGTGGGGTGGGTGAGGTGGCTGCTCTTCAAGAGGGACAAGACCTCAGCTACACAAAGATTATGAGCTAAGTTATCCAGCTACAGTGAACTACACTGAAGGAAAGGTGTACCTTCAGCAGACTAACCCAAATACCAAGGCTTATGCAACACTTAAGCCACACTTAAGCCCTATTTGAAAATCTTCCTGTGGTACACAGACTATCAGAACATGAATGAAATATTTCATGCAGACAGGAAAAGAAACAGCAGTTACTAGATGATACTGAGAAAGCCACAGATAAGCTGCACAGAGAACACTGAACAGACAAAGCAACAGAATAGGAAATATCAACATTTTAAAAAAGACACCCAAATACCTAAAAGGCACTGTAAAAATAAAGTTAAAAATAGGAATGGATTGAAACTAAAAGCAAACACTTGGATATCTTCAACAGCATCATGAGCCAACAAGATTAAAGAAATAGTACGAACAAAGATCAACACAAACAGCTGACAACTGGTTTAGCAACTGATTCTAGCTATTTATTTTGCAACTTTCTTTGGCTAATAATGAATGAACAGTTCCTGTTTTGCCTATATGACTATTTGGCCCCATCAGCACCTCCTTATCTTAAAATTTTAAAATCAAATTTTAGCCTAATGAGTTACCAAAGTCACTACCAACTAAACCTGATTCTAATCACAGGGGTTTTACTGATACCATTCCAAAACATTTAACATGGACTGTAGGGTCTCCTGGTGTTGGCTAGGGAGTGACCTGTAAAAACAAAACTATTTGTGGCTGAGCATGTGTCCGCTTCAAAAAAGGATTTAAGATGCAATACTTCCTCCTGAGAAGAGCATAGAGATGTCTTGTGTTTACTCCATGTTGCCATCCCGTAATAAAAACTTGCCTTTCTTCTAAGAGAAGTCTGGAAGAAAACAAATATATCCAGATTAAAAATGTATTTTGCTCTCCTTTTCTCCATTAAATGATGAGCCTGACTACAGAGATACTCTGAAAATGGTTACTCGCAGTAAATTCCCAATACTCCTAGAATTTAGGTTTTGCAACCTGAATCTACTTAGCTGTGATTTCAGAAAAAGGGTATTTTTTAATCCATTTATTGTGTATTATTACCTTAGCTCTTCCTTCTAGAGATCAGAACTGAAAAAACCTGTTAATACACTGACAATAAACTAAAGAAAGTGACCGCACATCAGTTACTTTGGTGTAAGAGAACACTGCTAGTAGCAAACACATTTCATAAAGCTGCGAAGACTCATTCTGCAAAGGAAAATGAAGGTTTTGATATCTGTACCATTATTAGTGATAAAGGAGAAGAAAATTCTAAGGGCTGAAGTGTCTTTCTAAAAAGTGGCACTATCACATTGCAATAAATATTTCCACTGCTAATCATAGTGAAGTCATAGTGAAATCATAATCATAGAGTTCCTCTGTTTGAATTAGGGTTTTTTGCCATCTCTCTTTTTTACAGAAATTCATATGAAAACAGCAGTTCCTAAGGATAGCAAAGTGTGTTATGGCAAGGCGTTCCATTAGCCAAATACACTAGGTTCCTGTACCATGGCATCACCCCCAAATCATCTGGCATCTGAGCTACGTAGGGGCGTCACTGTAGCAGTACCGTATTGAGAATGATTCTCAACTTACCAACACAAAATATTTTGCTTTCTGTACCACGTTTCTAGATTGACATTTTGTACCTCAGCTATACAAAGATTTTCGTTTCAGTGAGTGTCCATGTTTGTAGATTCCTGTGTCGGTGACAACAGCCATATTTACTGGAAAGTAACTTTCTAAGTCTGTCAAGGGTGTTAAGGAAAATTCCCAGTCTGACCATTCTCAACTCTCTGGCAGTCACACTCCCAAAGCCAGAGGCTTTCACTGCTGGGACCGAAGCCTCTTCGCGGTGGGCGGCTCCGGTGTCTCGACGGGTGCTCCGCTTGACAGCCATGCCTACAGACCCCTCTCTCACACAGTCCGACCAGGTTTCCTTACCGGTTCGAGCCCAGGTCGTCCACAGCAGAGACTCAGATGTCTCGTTCCACGAAGCCATGTATTCCTCTGCAGTAACACAGAAACAGCTCGAGCTGGTACCTCCGAGTAGGGGAGTACACAGGGGACTACTGGGGCTTTATCCACTCACTCTCTCCCCGAGCACACGTCTCGGCTCCTGCGCCCCTCTCTCCCTGTCCATCCACCTCGCCAGCGTCACCGGTCTTCATCTCCTTCGATATCCGACAGGCCGGCAACTCCCTGCTCCTGCTGGGTCTCACCGTGTCCATTCACCCTCGTCGTGGCCTTTCTAATCCCGAAGGTTGGCAATTCATGGCCCCTTGTGTCGCGCTCCCACCCAGAGCTCTATCTGCATTTCAATCCGCGGCTTGCGAGCCCAGCTACAGGGACCAGACTTACTCAACAATGGGTAAGGAACGTAGCGGGGTGTCTGAAGACCCCCTCTATCCCATTTCCTCCTGTATTAAGCCTTGCTGTTTGATCCTTTGCCACCCATTCACCCAATCCCAGTAACAGCCCTCACAGAGCACTGAAGGCACCGGGACGCGCATTGCACGGAACAACCTCTCTGGCCGCTAATCCGCCGCCTCCCGCGGCCGCGCCTGCGCCAGCCCTCCCGCCGCCGCCGGACCGCGCTTGCGCGGGGCTCGCCGAGCCGGGGGTGCCGCGGGCAGCGAGCCTTGCCCTACCCTTGCCCCTGCTCTTGTCCCCGTTCCTGCCCGTGCCCCAGCTCTGCCCTGCCCCGCCCCTCCCGGCACGCCGGCCGTTCGCTCCGCAGCAGCCGCACACCGAGTCAAGGCCGCTGTCGGGAGTTCCACTCCCTTCCCCTCCCCTCCCCTATCCCTGCTCGGGGCCCGACACAGCCCTCTGGGTGCTTCCCGCCGTCGGTTTCCTAGAGGGGTCCGTGCCCTCGTTTCTGTCGCGGAATGAAGAGGATCTTCGGGTTCGGAAGGAAGAGGAAAGGGCAGCCGCCGCCCGGCAGCGCCTCCCTGCCCTGCCCCGCCGGTGCCTACGAGCTCCGGGAGAAGGACCTGGGCAAGCTGCACCGTGCGGCCGCCAGCGGCGACCTGGCCCAGGTGCGGCAGGGACTGAGGAAATACAGCATCGACGGGAGGGACAAGGCGGATCGGTAAGCACGGGAGCCGCGGGGGGGCTCCGGAAGGTGCACCTACAGCAGCCCCCGGGAGCTCCCTGGCGCAGGGCCGGGCCGGCAGCGCTCCTGGGAGGAGCGGGAGAGCGGGCGCCGCAGCCGAGCGCAGCTCTCGGCTGGCTGTGGGAATCGTGCCTGTGTTGCCAGAAACCTCGTGAATTCGGCCGAGCGTCCAATTGTCGCCTTACCCTTTTTGACCCAGCCTCCTCAGTGCCCTCATTCCCGGACTCGTATGCCCTGGCCTAGGGGCGTAGGAGTGGAAGCGAGCTGTCAGGCTGACAAAGGCGGGTTGCAGGAAGAGCCTTCGCGCCCATCGTCCAGCCATGCTTTGAAGTCAAATTGCAAAGTCAAAGTGGGCACCTCTGAAGCTCAGCGTGCACGTTCAGTAGTTGAGGCGAGAGGGATGCATTGCCTCCAGTCAGAGGCACTTAAGCACTGCAATTAGGAAGGACTTGTAATGCAGAATAAACATGGTATTTATTGATGCTGCATGCACAGTTACCGTTTGTGACTGTGATGTGGCAGCCAAAGCCAGTCTGATTTTAGGTGGCAGTTACTTAGTTTACCTTGAGGCTTTGGCTCAGCTGATGAGTACCTTGGATTGGAAGATATGGCCAGTGGCTTAGTGGAAAAGCTGCTTATTCTGACAGGTGCTGTTGTGTGGGTTTTTGAGTCAAGCACAGCAAGAATTTGGCAATTCTGTCTTAAGGAGAAGTCCTGGGCTGCAGCATAGTTCCTAGTGATCCAGCATAACGGAATTGGCTGAAGTTTTGGGGTCCTGTATGTGTCAACCCTTTAATACCTTTTCTGAAAAGGCTGAGTCGAAAGTTTTGTGATATTCTGAAGAGATACTGATTTGGCAGAGTAGCTCAACTTCTTAGGCTGGCTGTCCTGAAGGCTGAACTTGTGCTGGCCAGCTCGCTTATTGCCCTAAAACCTCCTAGATTTATAGAAGCAAGGAAGAGCATGGTAAATATCCACTTTGGTAATGTGGATTATGTGCCTGAGTGTTGGCAATTAGTATTTTTTATGCAGTTGGAGATGGTAGATGCAGTTAAAGGTGAATTGAGTGCATTTTGTGACTTCAGTTGCCTGAGTCGGGGTGCCCAATGGCATTTATGGAATTACTCATCAGATCTTAGCAGGCCCTAGTATGAAATATGGCTAGCTTTTGTTTGTAAGTTCATTCTCTAGACAGCTCTAGACATCCTCTAGAGCAGTTTCCTTCTGTGTGTCAAGCTATTATCAGTAGCACACTGTAAAAAACATAACCCAAACCAATTTTCTCGAGAGATGAGGCAGTGGACGTACTGTAGAGCACTGCAGTGATTTTGGCATGACAATGCTCAGTGCTGAAAAGCTTGCCTGAGAGGGATTCAGTGGACAGAGTATGCCTGTTTGCTTCTGCCCCTGTACACTTTACCAGCTCTGAGGGTTACAGGCCCACCTACTCCCTCTTAGTGTTTGTGGGTGTGATGTGTGAAGGATCATGAGATGCAACTGTGTTTCAGAGCTTCATCACATCCTCCACGGACTGAAAGGCAAGATTGGAAATAGAAGAGAAGAATAGGAAACCTGTGAAGCAATGGCTGAAATGCTGAAATGTGCATTGTTCATGTCAACATCCCAGTTCCGCTCCTTGGTATTTCCAAAAGCAAAATCCTGCACAAGGGACATGGCAAGTCTCATGCCTACAGGCTCCTTCCATAAAGTGGGTCTTGTAGCCAGTAGGACCTCTAAAAAATGTGTTTGGAACAGCAACAATTAGGAGCACACAGACTTTTCAGAGGTGGTCTAAGCAAAGCCTTTAGCCCTGGTGAAAAAGATAGACAAAACTCGGCACAGAGTTTGAAGCACTGCAGTCATGATGCTGGCAAATCATGAATCCTGGGTCAAACTAATCACTAAGAGATTTACTCTGTCAGCTACCTGTCAAAGTGAACTCTAGAGCTTAGTATTGCATATCTTGTAGCTGCTGGGTTGTTGGCTCGGGTTCCTTTAAAAGTGTGTGCCATCAACTTGCTGTTCCCTGGTGGCCTCCTGGTTGAGTTGTTTTGTGGCTGCTCAGACAGCAGTAAATCTCTTCTACCCCATGGGTGATCAGTGTATGACTGCAGCAGCAGGAGGAGCTGAGTCTGAGCAGGATCCCCAGGGGGGTGGCAAAACAGCTTTGGTGTTACTGAAGGTCTTTTATGGAAACAGGCAAATGTGAACACTGATGTTCTCCCAGCCTGTTCCCTAAAGTGGATTTTCTTTGGAGCTCAACAGGCCTTGCTCCAAGCAGAGCCATTCCTTTCCGCTTGGCAGCCTTAGAGGCTTGGTTGGGGAGGGCAGCAATGAGCCCACAGGTTTTCTACAAAATTCCTATTTTTAGAGCTGTTAGGGACTTCAGTTTCCTAGTGCTTGGTAGTAGCATGGCAATTTTTCAAAAATTGGTAGTAGTTGCTTTTAGGAGCTCTTCCTTGATGCTTCAGTTTCTTCCATCTGTAACAAGATATCACAATTCTTGTGTGTTTTTCTTGTCCTCATGCTCTTTGCTATGGAGTCCATCAGTTGCCCTCTAATAAGTAGTATCTGCCTTACAAATTGCTGAGTTCCTGTGTCACCTGCTACTCTATTCATGTACCTCCCCCCCTCTGTTCCCACCCAGCCGGGGTGATGATGTTCCTCTGTCTGTAAGCAAGGTACTAAAACATTTGAAAGGTTAGTTGAGCTTCCATAAGAGGGAGCTACCTACAGCAGTGTGGTTCAAAACAAGTGCAGAGTGAAACTTGTGGTCGTATCCATTTATCAAAGCCTGAAATTATGCCTGTCTGTGCTAATTTAGTTTATTTAATTTTTAGGACACCTCTGCATCTCGCTTGTGCAAGTGGCCATGTGGATGTAGTTACATATCTAGTAGAAAACCGGTGTAAGCTAAATCTTTTTGACAATGATAACAAATCACCACTGATGAAGGTATGTGGATTGTATTATGTTCTTGTAAATGAGGCTTAATGATTATGCCCTAAATTATGTATTTTGCAGGATTTTTTATTTAGATATGTGTAGAAAAATGCATATTGTGATTGGTGTGCAAGGGCATATGTTAGCTACTCTTTAAAGGTGCTCTTATTTCCCAGTATTGGGAAGCTGGGGGAATTGCAATAGAGTGAAAGCTAAATGTTGGAAGTTTTTCCTTTTTTGTGTTTTGTTCCCAGGCAGTACAGTGCCAGCAAGAAAAATGTGTGGCTATTCTACTAGAGCATGGTGCTGACCCAAATCTGGCAGATGCTGATGGCAACACTGCCCTTCACCTGGCTGTCCTATCTCCTAATACCACTGTAGCAGGGCTGTTACTTGAGCATAATGCCAATATTAATGCTCAAAATAAGGTAAGTTTTTTTTATTTGTTGAGGAAGTTCTTTCAAAAAGTTGTATTTTTATTTTTCTTGAAGATTTTTTTTACTTTTGTTTTTAACTGTCTCTGCTCTTTTAGGAGGGATGTACCCCACTTATTCTTGCTGTCTCCGAACGTCATGAGGAGATAATGGAGTTTCTCCTTAAAAAAGGAGCTAATGTGCATGCTCGAGATCAGTGTGAAAGGTGAGGGGTTTTCAAAACTCTGCATGGCTCTTTCTAGTATTCTTTAGGTTCATTGATGAGAGGCATAGGAATGAGCTCTGGAAAAAAAAAATGAGGTAGCCACACAGAAGCTTTTATTTCTGTGGGACTCGTGGAAGTGGGTCATACCTCAGTGGTTTCCTGTCATTCCTCAGCTCTGTCTGTGGTGGCCTTTCTGACAGGAAACTTACCATTAGCTAAGCAGCATTGCCTCAGTTTGAAAACCCATCTCCTGCACAGCAACAGAGTTTGTATGTAGTTGTTGTCTATATGGAAGCTTTGTTTGAAGATCAAACATTTGTTTTGACTCCCTCTCCCATTTTATTGTTTCTCATAATGCTTAATGAAAAATGCTTTATCTTGTTAATTTTAAAGTAATGGAGAGAATACTTCTTTGAGGGCAAACAGGAATAAAAATAATTACACTTTCTGTGTTAAGGAATTGACTTCATATCATATTTTGGATGTTTCAGAACCCCACTTATGACAGCTGCTTCTGGTGGAGAGGTTAATTTGATAAAAGTTCTTCTTCAGTATGGTGCTGATGTTTCCCACAAAGACACTAATGGATGGACAGCTGAGGATTATGCTGTTATTCATGGATATTCTAGGTAAATTTTAAACTTTATTGTTAGAGTAAATTGTCAGTTATCAGTGTGGTTTTTGATCATTTTTGATAGCAGCACCAAGGTTTAATGGTTTGATGAGACCTATATTGAAGCTGTGTTCGGTGATGTCTTCATAGAATCGTTTAGGTTGGAAAAGACCTCTAAGATGATAATCAAGCGAAGACACCAACCTAACACTGCCAAGCCCATCATTAAATCATGTCCCTAAGCACCACATCTACAACGTCTTTTAAATACGTGCAAGGCTGGTGATTCAACAACTTGCTTGGGCAGTCTGTTCCAATGCCTGACAACCTTTCACTGAAGTAATTTTTCCTAATGCCCAATCTAAACCTTCCTTGGCCCAACTTGAGGCTATTTCCTCTTTGTCTTCTGGTGTGTATCATTCCAGTGTCTAATGTTAATTTGGAAGTTGAGGAAAATTTCTACAGAGACTTCTCTGTTTAATTTCAAGTTTTATTGCTAAGCCCACATCTGCCCAATGTAAACTCTAAAAAGTGTCTGTATCTTACAGTTATCCAGAGGTGGAACTTGGCAGACTGAAATACATGTAAGCCCTCTCCCCCTGCCAGCACTGTTGTCCTTACTGGCTTCCACTACCATGACCAACCTTTTGTTTCAGAGGAGATATATCCCTTTTGTTAAAATCTTGAGCAGTTTTACTCCTCTTCTGCATAACTTTGTGCCTGTGGTTGTTTCTACTCTAGAGTGGATAAGTGTGCTTGAAAGCTAAGCTGAAATAAGTGTACCAAGCAGGAGTTAATAACTTTTTAGGTTTGAATATGCATCTGTAGAGTGAACGTGACTGTAGTGAATATTGATGTATGTTACAGTCATGCAGTAAGTGCATATGAGTGTATGAATCTATATGGCTGTGAGTATGTGTGGGATGGATAATAAGTGGCTATAAACTATTAAATGGTATATGCAAGTATGTGTTTATTTTTTACCAAATATATTTCCTCTCTTTCTCTCTGCAGTCTTAGTAAGCAACTGGGAGAATATGCAGACTGGGAAAACACAGTTTCTGCAGGTGGTGCACAGGGCATCGCGGTACCTGGCACTCCGCACCGGGCAGGAGCCGCTGCCTTTATGCTGGGTGCACCTGCTGTGGACAGAGGAGGTAGGATCCTTAACTGTGGAGTAGCTCACTATGGCCTTTCCTGTGGGGGGTTTGTATTGTTAATGCTTACTGTGTTCACCATTGATTTTAGTGGCAGCAGCAGGTGGAGCAGCACAAATTTTCTGAATGTGCTTATTTGTTGCTTAGTTGGACGTGCTTCTTCAGGCTGTGAAAGCATTTGATTTGCATGCTGTGTGTCCAGTTCTTAAGGTTGTTGCCTTCTGTCTGAACGATTACCCATCTATGTAAGTTCTGCTTGAGAGAGGAGAAGAAAGGCAATAGGAAAGAAAATAGGCAGAAGTGTTTTTGTTTTTCAGGTATGTACAGTTTAGCCAAAGATGGCCATTCAGATTGTGAAAATCCAATTACAAAAGCAGTAGCTTCATCCCGAATAGTTGTTCCTCTTCCTGTAGCTGGGAGGCAACAGAGGAATTAGGAGAAAGATACATGTCTTACTGATTTTCATAGAGCTTATGTGTTTTTGTTTTAATATTAGTAGTTCCATCTGCACTAAGGTCCTTTTAGCAAGTCACCCTATTTTTCAGCATCACTTACAGTTGTTTCTGTGTAGGTGCTGTCAAGACATATTTAGGAAAAATTACATTGTAGAAGTAACTTTGTTAGCAGTAGCATTGCATTGTCTATGTACGCTACATTGTCTTGGACAAAGTTTAATTTACAATAAAAATAAAGCTTTTCTTCCACTTTCAATAATTTTATGAAATAGTATTTTTTAAAAAACCCTGTTACTTGTGATCCAGAAAAACCATTAAATTGCCTTGTGATCAAAAAATCATTCACTTGTTTAGTGAGTTTGAAAAATCTAGCCTATGCCTATGAGCTCACACAGCCCTAGAGGAATCTTAGAAAATTAATATCATAGTATAAATGAAATAGTTTTTCTTGTACTTTACATCTCAGGCCTTACAAGTGGGAGGTTTTATTCTTTCTGAGTTTTTAAGGGTGTTATCATAGAATTAACTGGGTTGGAAGAGACCTTCGAGATCATCAAGTCCAACCCTTGTTCCAACTCCACTGTGATTACTAGATCATGGCACTCAGTGCCACATCCAGCCTCATCTTAAAGACCTCCAGGGATGGTGAATCCACCACCTCTCTGGGCAGGCCATTCCAATGCCTGATCAATCTCTCTGTAAAGAACTTCTTTCTAATATCCAACCTGACAGAACTTAAGCCCTCTTGTCCTATTGCTGATTGCCTGGGAGGAACTATATGGCAAATGGGCAGAAGACAGTGTTCAAATACTCTTCATTACTCCTTCAAATACAGTTTGTTACTTCTTTTTTAAATATGTCAAGAAATATAAGCAAATTATGGGATACTTTTCCTCTCTGACTTTTCCCAGATAAAGGATTTTAATTTAGAGTCAAACTTTGTTGCTTTGACTTAGGAACAGTTGCTTTGATCTAGTTGGAGATTGGTAAAGTTTTTTGGTAGATTGCAGGAAATAATTTTTCTTTTTGAAAGGTCTTGGTACAGGTAGTAGTGCACTGTCTCTGAGAGATTAGTAGCATATAAGGAACATTTATCGACATTAATTTTGCAGTCTCTGGCTTGTACACACAGAGCACAGGTCAATCCTGCATCAGGAGAGTCCCTTTGACATGCTGCAGTAACAAGTTTAGAAGTCTCTGTTAGAGGAAAAGCTGGAATTATCTTGAGAATACAGAGAAACCCATTTTGGAACTACTGTCTCTTCTTTTGCTCTTCTGTACTATTTTTCTGGGATCATTTTTCAAAATGATATGCAAGTCAGCATATTTAAGGAATTAGCTTTTGCTTATTTGAATATTTACCCTTTCTCTGTCAGAATGTGCACTTTTTTATTAATCACAGATTTGCAAAAATTTCCAAATGAATGGCTCGGCCCTAGCATATGGAGTGACAGATGTTTTAGATTTGAAGTTGGAATTTCTTTTGCAAAAACTAATACTTAGGCAATTTTTCTAGAGGCAACAAGTCAGAGATTTTTTTTAGCTACTACACTCTGTATTAGTGTATTGTTCCTTTTGTGTCTCCCTGAGTCCCCACAGAAACTGTTGGTTTTCCAGCATGGAACTCTTAGAAAAGAAGTAAGTGCCTCAGTGTGATTTGTATCTCCCAAGGTCAGTAAAAGTTGTCCTGTGTCATCTCTTAAGAAAATTGAGAAACAGGGAAGGGATGAGAAACCATTACAGTCATTTCTTAAGTCTTTAAATGTATCTTTTTGATAAGAGTTCTTTTGCTACATTCATTCTGTGTGGTAAAATCAGTATAAGCAGGACTCTGCTTTCAACATTGTGAAAAAAAATGGTTCAGCATGATCAGATCAATGTAAGCAGGACTCCTATCTTCAAAGGTAGGAGGGGTCTGTGTTTGCATCAGACACTAACACAGCTTTTCAGGGGAGCTGAATTAAGGCAACAAGTTCCTGGGTTCCTTTTTTAGCAAGGGATAACAAACATGCTAAAACTGTAACTTGAGTGAGTGTAAAGGACATAATGGCTCAGAGTTGCATGGTGGTATGAGTAGTAGGAGCCAAGATTTCCTTCAGATTTCTCGGTAGTCTATCTCCAGTGTTCAGTTGTTGGCACATACAGGTTTTCGAGTTGCTTTGGGTATGGATTTTTGTGCTATGTATATAAAGCACTCTAGAACCATGAAGGAATTGGGTTGGCAGCCTGTGCTACACAGGGAGTAGTCAAGTTGAGGGAAATACTAAAGTTGTCAGAAGAGTAAATTTCTCACAAATTGTTTCAGTATTTCAAAATATTGAAATATGCATGCCTTACATGGAGCAAGTAAAGAGAACTTCCTGTTAGACACTGTACCTTAAGAGTAGAGTTCTACAGATTGTGATTTCATTTGTTTCCAGCACTTAAAACTGTAGAGTAGGCTGGTAGTCACACTCCCATTGCTGTAGCTGCTTTGATGTACTGCTTATGTTTTCTAAGTTTCTGGGAATTTCAGTTTATTCTGATGTCGTTATTTCGTCTGTCCTTTCCATGCCTTTTCCTAAATGGATATAGGAATGCAACAGTCTCCTAACCAGACATCAAGAACAGGAAAATCAAGGAAAGGTATTTTATGCAGTAGCATTTCAAATATGAAATGTGTTGTACTATATACAAATACACATCTATGATGTTTATTATCCTGGAGGTCCCTATATTGATGGTATTGGTTTTTTAAATTGTATTTGAGAGCAGGCTTTGCGTGATTTTTATTGGTTCGCATGTTTTGCATTGGTTCTTTATTATTGAATTTAACGTTTGCTTTGTGTCATTAGTGGTAATAAATAATTTTATTTTTACATATGTGCTTCTGTTAGTCTGAAAGGGAAATGGATTTCAAATCAAGTAGAAACAATCAATCCCCAGAGACTGCTTTTCTAGATCCCATTTCTACAGTAGTCAGAGTTTGTCTTAAAGCTAGCTCATGAACTTTTCCTCTCTTGCCTTTTAAAGGACAGTGTGGCCTGGTCTTGATCATTGCTTCAAGTTACTATTCATTGAAAACAAAAGTTCAGAAAACTGGCTCAGCTGTTTTGATGAATTATAACTGTACTAATTGAAAATATAACTGAAGTCACTTGTCAAGAGTGATAACTCCACACTGTCTGCCCAGCTCTAAGAAACAGATTTTTATTAAGCTGGGGATGTTAGCAGGTAGATTAAACTGCTGGTACCAATTGAGATAACAGAAAACTGTTACAACTAATTAATATTTTTTAAATATTGCAATAGGAAACATTAAAAAGTAGAGACTGTGTTGGTATTTTAACTGTTAGCTTGTCCTTGCACTGGAGATTTCAGCTTCTAGGTTTTATCTACGTGACATATACACTGTAATTCATTGTCCAAAAGCCCAATGCAGGTCAGGAGATGTACTCATCAAAATTCCCACAGAAGCCCTGTCTTTAAAAAAACAAAATTTGCATACTCATTTGTGGTTTACTGCTAGTAGAGGAGATGTGTTCAGGCATGATATGCCTTTGTTTTCTTTCCCTCGTATGATTCTGCACAAGACCTTGTCATCATACAACTCTTTGGAAGGTCACCAGTCTCTCTTATTTATAAGTGACTTCATTTTGTTATGATAGTTAACAAGAATTAGTTATCAAGAACTTGAGGAAATAGCTGAAATAGCTACTGTGTGGCAGTTGTTTCTCTTTTTCCCTTCTGTTTTGGGAATTGCAGAACTCTTTTATTTCTTCTTAGCTGTTGAGAGGTTTAGCAATCTTCAGTCTGGATTCCTGGAATTCAGGTTTCTTTAGTACATCAGTGATGTGCTAGAGTGCGCTCTCATCAAGTTTGCAAATAGCCTTAAGTTGGGAGGATCAGTAGATACACTTCAGGGCAGTGCTACCATTCAGGGGCACTGTACCCTGGCAGGGTATGGAAATGAACTGTCAGGCCTGTCTTACAAAAGTCAGCAAGGGCAATTGCAAAGGCTGCACATGGAAAGGAAACCCAATTGCTACAAAACATGATGGGACCGCCTAGCTGGAGAGCTGCTTTGCTGAGATAGTCCGGAGGGTCTTGGCAGAATGTGAGCTGAGAATGAGCCGGCAGGATGCCTTGGTAACAGTATCCTGGGTTGTATTAAGAGCAGCATAGCCAAGAGATTGAGGAAAGTGATTATCCACTCCTGCTTGGCTCTTGCTGGATTGTGTCCAGCACCCTGGGTATAATATAAAATCTCTTTTGCCTCAAGTGCAAAATAGATTGATTGGTCTTTCAACAATGAGCAGGTTCAGTGGAAGGCCACCAGCTTTATCAGGGGCAGGAGTATTTGCCCTTTGAAGACAGGCTGAGGAAACCAGGCTATTTTAGCCTAGGGAAGAGGTGACTTAGACAGGGATCTAGCAGCAGCTTCTAGTACATATGAGAAGACAAAGCCAGGTGCTCCCCAGTGACAGGAGGAGAGATGCAAGAGGCATAAATAGAAATGAGTTTCGAATTGGACATGTGAACAGTAAAGACAGGAAAACGGAGACATTGTAGACTCTCCCTCCTTGGAGGTGTTCGAGACCAGACCGGATAAAGCCCTAAACAACCTTACCTGACCTCATAGCTGAGCCTGCTTTGAGAAGGCGGTTGGCTAAGAGACTTCCTCCATGGCCTTGATTTATCCTGTGTGGAAGTAGCTTGGAGCATAGTATAGAATGCCCTGGTTTTGCCCCTTTTGTCTGCTGAACACCCTTTTTGGTGCAGTGTAGAGAACTGCTGGTGATTCTTCCACTTGAGAATAAGCTTTAGATCTTGATTATGCTTTTTAATTTTCTTTTTCAGAATAATCTGTAACTGGATAAAGCAGCAAATAGCATAGTATATAGCATAATGTTATACCTAATACTGCTTAAATTAGTAAAATCTCTGCATGTGATGTGTACTCACGTGTAATGTGAATACTTTGGATGTTCTTTTACCTAATGTCTTGCTAAACCACCACCATTTTGTTCAGTGGTAACTAACATAGCATATTTCTGCTATGCTTTTTCTTTTTTTTTTTTTTTCAAGTTTAGACATGTTTTTTAAACTTTTAGGTATAAGCATCCAAAGGGGATATAGCTATTCTCTGCCCTCCCCTCCCCTCTTCTTTCTTTTCTTTTTAATTCAGTGTGGTTTGAAAAAGCAGTTTTGTTTTGGAAATGCACTCATTCATGCCACCTTGTGTTGAGTTGACTACCTGAAGCATCATTCTATTACGACTTGTAGAGTTGTCCCTATTAAATGTTTATGTGTACGAGTTAATTTTTAATGTGCCCAATCTAATTTCAACTAATGTCAATTAATGTTTGAACAGCAGCAGATGACTTTTCCCAAGGAGACTCAATAAGGTGAGACTTTGAAAGTACCTAACACTTAGCTGAGGAATTATTTGAGAGACATAGTACTCATTTTGCTTTGCTTTTCAAGAACCTCCGAGAAAGAGGGAAGCGATGACAGTTGGCATACCTCTGAGGAAGAGGAACTCGATTTTACCCCCAAGGTATGGTGCATTTACAGAAAAAATGTTCTGAAAAAATAAGGGTCTTGAAGGCAAGTTTTCTTTGGGATTGAAAGACACTCCTGTTCCAGCCAATATTGTTTTCTCTTTAGAAACAATCTCTGCCCTGCCAGCCTTTCTTCTGCTGTGAGTTTTTCCTAAAAGACCTGTAGCTGAGGCAGAGCATGCAGTATTTTTGTACTTTGGAGCAAAAGAGCAGTAGGTGACAAGATAAAAAGCCACATAGTTTTTTATTTGTTCTTGTTCCTTTGAGTCACATTTGCAGACTCTAAAAGTTTTTGAGTTACTATTATAACTATTCTGTTCTTCTCCATAACCTATTCTGTTCTTCTTCAAACATTGTTATTGTTTTGTGTGAATTTGGTGATAGATTCCTAACTGATAAAGAAAAACAACATTTATTTATCAAGATGTACATAAATATCTCCATCACCTAGTTCTCCTTTCCTCCTCAGCAGGTTCCTCAAGAGTGCTTAATGAATGGATGGCTCATATGGGTCATCTTTTTTGTTCTATAAGATGACATTCTGTGCTTGCATGTGATCTCACACTGCATGTTTTACTTCTGTTTCTGAATGCTCGGGTAGTATTTTTTTTATCAGTTACAAGCTCTCACACATTGTTTTTACTAATGGTGTGGAGAATTATCAACTTCTGAGTGGTGTCTGGAGCATCCGTTCTGTTGCGCTGGAATTCTGCAGTCATGAGGAACCACAGTGTGGCAGTTCAACCCACTCTGTAATGCTGGAGATGCAAGCATGTTTAGTTTTAACATGATTTCATTTCCTTGCACTGATTTAAATAGAAATTATGCATTTTTCTGGCATGATTTTGAAATTTAGGGATATTTTGCTAAGTGTACTTGCAGGGACTAATTTATCCATTAAATCTAGGGATCTTAACAGTTACTTGAGTAGTGCACATTTGTAAGTAAGAATGCTGGAACTGCTATCTTGAATATAGCTGACTTCTACTTAAATATTATTAATATAAGAAACAGATTTTTAGAACTAATACGCATGCAAACATAATTTTGGAAGCAGTTTGTAGAAGGGTGCTAGTTCTGTGTGAAATACTCCCTGAATTGCATACAATGAGGAGTGTCTTTGTAGTTAGAAATATAGGATGAAGCCACTACTATCATAAGGACAGTCTGATTATATTTACTGTTTAAGATTTGATGTGAACAGAGGATTTGTTACTGTTACTGTTAAAAAAATTCTTAAATAAATCTTTATTTACAGAAGCTGCAGAAGCCAAACTTGACACTGCTAATGAATGCTTCACAGCACTTCAGGAAAAACAGTAAGCTATTTGGAAAAGGTTGCATGATATACCAATATATAAAAGTAGACTTCCTAAGTAGGCTTTAGAGTTTGGGGTTTTTTATTTGTGCTATAGTAAATGAGAAAAGTAGCATTTTGAAAACACAGCATTTAATAATTTAGAATAAAACAAGTCATTAAAATGAAGATATTCATCTTCTATTAAGCCTTTTTCCCTCATAAAGTCCAACCTCCATCCTGCCCAACCTTACGTGTTTCCAGACATTCCTAGATGGCTCCTCTCCTGTGCACTAATCTGATAACATTGCTCTTTACTTAACTCCTTCTGTTCACATGCATTTTCCCTTTTCTTGTGCTTTAAGATGATGATGATGGTTCTAGAATTGAAAGTCCTAAGTCACCAAAGAAAAGTCTCAAACAGCAAATCCTATCGGATGCAAACCTGAACAAAGGAGGCAGTGAAGAATTGTTTAATCAAGATGTCTCAGCTGCAAGTAACCTGGAGGAAGAAGAATTGGAGGAGGAGGAAGAAGAGGAGGAGGAGGAAGATGATGATGAAAATCACAATGGAGATGATGATGAAGATGATGAGGAGGAAGAGGAGGAGGATGAAGATTTTACTGAAGATGAAGAGGAGGAGGAAGAGCTGGAAGATGAAGAAGCTCAGTCTAGTGAAATACTGGAAGAGGAGCAGGGAGAAAAAACAGAACCTAAAGGTGAAATTAATGGGAAATTAGAGTATTTTAGTAAAGCTAAATATGAAGAGGAAGCTCAGTGTGAAACTGGAGCTGTCTGCATTGATGATAAAATAAGTAAAGAACATGATGAAAAGGGGGAGGAATCTGTTGATACTCCTGTGTCTTTCATAGCTGGGTGTTATGAAAGGTTGCAAGAAAATAAAACATCAGCGTCTCCAAAGATCATGAATAATGAAGTATCTTGCAAGTCAGTACCAAAACAAGCTGTCTTTCAAAATCTAAATAATCTGCAAGATACACAAGAAAGCTGGAACAGGAAAAGCATGATTCAGGAGAAGTTTCCCAGAAATGCTGACTCTTGTTTTGTAAATTCTGAAAGGACAGACTGGAAAAAAGAGATACCTCAGCCTCTCGCAGATAGTTGTGGTCCTAAGGAGAAAAAGTCAAGCTTCAGTGATGACTTTGAAAGTGATAATAATTCTTGGTCAGCAGCAAAAAATCCAGGACTTGAAAGAGAAATACCAAGCTCTGTTATTGTTGATCGTGTGAGTGATGAAGATACTGAAGAAGAGCAATATGAAGGAGCAGGTGGTAAAATTTGTGACTCACTGAAACAAGAAAGCGAAAACTTGCGCTTAAATAGACATGAAGAAAATTTGAGAGCATTTCATTCAAGCACCAAAGTAAGTATATAGAGATGATTCAATTACAGGGGTATTTCCTAAGGGTCATAAGAAACAAATAGTAAACTGGATTTCTGTTAATATGTATTCTTCACATATATGCATCTTTTGATCATCCGTTTTTAATGTTAGATAATGTCTTACTCCTAGCCAAAACAGTTTCTTTGTTATAAGGATATGGTTTTGCAGGCAAAAGAATAGGCAGTAGACTCTCTGGAATTAGTTAGAATTTTCTCAGTTCGATGTACAGTTTTTATCAGTTAAGATTTACTGTTATTTAGGAAAATGCATGGTACGATGGCTGAAAGTGAGAAAACAAAAAGAAATTTGCAGAAGATTGAGAGCAGGAAGCTGGTGATTTTCCTTGGAACAAAGTAGGGGAAGAAAAGGCATATGTTCCAGAATGATGTAACTTAATGAAACTAGAGGTAGACTGACGTGAGGAATTGCTGATGTAGGAACAGCAAAGAATGCTTATTTCTGTTCTTTTCAGCTGCTTTAGTTGATCTCTTTTAGGAAGAATCACCTGAACAGGAAGAAGAAGTTGAGAAGCAGGAGAAGGAAGACACTGGTGAAAAGCTACAAACTACAGTTGCTGAGGATGTGAAAAATTCTGTTTGTAATGATATCTGTGAAGTTCACAATGCTTCAAAAGACAACTCAGGTGAGAGAAATGAGTTAGTACCTACTGATTCCAACTCTTCCTCTACAAATATTAATGCACAGAAAATTAACTAAAATGGTGATTGACTTCTGAGGTAGCAAAATTTTCCCTTCCTTGTGAATTCCATTGGGTACTGGCAGAGAAGGAAAGCAGCTTTCGTTCCTTTTTATTCATTCTTGAAGAACTGAAATTGTAGCACTGTATTCCAAGCAATGCAGTATGAAGTGTGAGGTAAACATATGCAGGTATTCTTCCCAAGAATGCCAAGACAGTGGAAGGATTAAAAAAAAGATGTATTTCAGATGTACAGACCACTTTTTTACAGTGTTGCATGCATTGCCCTCCAGGGGCAAAGGCAATGCCCCACCTCCTCCAAGGCTTTTTGTATCTTGTCTCTCCTCCCTCACCCTCTCTGGCCCAAGGAGACCGTGTACATGTCTGCAAACATGTGTCTCTACATGCTCATTTGTCTGTATGCATTTTACCATAATCGTGTATTTTGGCATGGTGTCAGTAGTCAAGAGTCCAGGCTGGAACCAGCAGTTGTCTCTTCTAGGGTGGGTGCCCTTACTGGTCTCCAGCTCCTTCCCTCTACACTAATGAATCCTGAATCTGTTTTACCTAATGAAGTAGCTTAAAACAGAGAAATAAGATAGAACAATCTGACCAGGAACCTACTGAGACTGAATGTTACAATCATCTCACTAGAGAAGAGGTTTGAATTTTAAGCCCCTGAGATAGAAACGACTTTTGTGTCTTGGGGTTAGTGTTTGAGCTGTGAACCTCTACTCTGTTTTTGAAAGGCAGTTCTTAGGTGTGCAGCTTCTGGGAAGGTGTAGTGTTAACTCTGTCAAGGAAGATCTTTCCTGGTAGTTGTACAAAAGAAACATTGGGTTTTGGTGACTTTAGTGATGTTAGTGTGAGGATAGTTTGGATAGTGTTTCTCCCCTGTACAGTGGAAAGTGATAGTAAATGCCCAGTTCTGGAGCTGTAGGCTGCAGAGGGTTGACCTAAACTCTGTACACAACAGGACTGCAGAATACTGGAGTCTCTTTCTGAATGTTGCTCAAAACGAGTTGGATATTGCCTCTACCTGTGTCAGCTGTTGTACATGGTCATCTTCTGCTGGAAAGGAAGGAAGAGGAACTGGCTATGTAAGAGGCATACCATGATGTGTCTGTGTGTGCAGAAACCCTTTAACACGTGAAAAGGGGAGATTTCCTCAATCCTCAGTGATTTGTTTGTCTATCAGTGCCCCAGGAAAGCTGAGACCCTTGTGCCCGACCTTGTCCTGTTACGGGGACCCATCACCAAACAGTCGTGCTGGATCGGAGAGCAATTCAACTGCCCATTTTAGGGGGCTCAGCCAACAGCATAAGGGAGACCCCTCAGTGGGTCTTCCCAGTTTATTCAAGTGTCTTACCCACTGCGAGCACCTGTGAAGGACTCACACAAACAGTTTGCAGAATAACACTTTATTAATACAAAACTGTGACAGGTCAAGGTTCAAGGATCACTGGTGATACTACCTGACTGCAGAGATGCTTTTAAAGCAATACAGACAAGCTCTAATCCCAGTAAAAGTATTCAGCACATGTACAGTGCAGTTCTTACCCAACAGGCTCCCTACAGGTTCAGCCTATCGACTGATCCCAACAGTTACGATGGAGTCTTCCCTAACTTTTTCTCCATTCTCAGCCTACTTTTATACTACTGCTTTATGTTTAAGTGGAGCTTGAGTGACTTTAGTCCTAAATACCTTTGTTACTGATTGGTGCAAAATTCTCTCGCTTTGCTTTTAAAGATACAGTCAAAAAATAGAGAGCACCTGCCCAGGGGGACGTGGTCATACCTTGGGGGTGGGTAACTTTGGGATGGAGGTGTGTGTTAGTATTGTAATTAGGCTTTAATGAACCAAGTTCATCCAAGGAGAGAGGTTTTGCACAGCTGTTGGCTCAGCAGCAGGACATCTTCTCCTATCTTCCTTGGTTGACAGGTGTTATGTTGGTTATCAACTGCAAAGTGCCACTGAGTTCCCCTCCCTGCAGGGATTTCCACAGAGCCTGGCCATGGTGTCTCCACTCCACGCTCCATTCCATTCCTTTTAGCAGGTGGTTACTTATGGTTGTGTGGGGAATCATCATGGAACATGCCAACTGCATTCCATCCAGGGAGCAGCAGTTGCATTTTACCCTGTAATTTCTGTACCATTATAACTTCTGTGAGGATGTGAATATAACTTCTCAGTTTCCTCTGATTTTTACCACCAGCCATCTTCCCACACCCTTGAATAAAACTCACTTCTTAGTTTGTCCTCAGCAATAAAACCTGCATCTTTTGGATGCAAGTCTTGACTGATAGGGAAAAGCAGAGTGAAATATAAGCACTCAAGCATCTCACTTCTTACTTGATTTGTAGGTACCCTGCCAACAGTGAGAGCAGAGCAAGAGGAAGATGCTGAATCTCCCTGGGATTCTGAGGTACTTTGTGTGAAGGACACAGGTGTTCCCACTGCAGGGGGTAGGACTAAGATCCAGAAGCACTTGAGGGCTTCCCTTTGGCTTGGGCTCTACTGTTGATAAGGCTTATTTCCTCTTTTCCTGCTTTTTCCATATGTTTGTAACTGGGGACCCTTTAAATATTTCTGTTCTAGGCCAGCTGTTCAGTTAGGATTGGGGTGAAGTTAGATCAAGCCAATGGCTTGAGTCTCATAGCATCCCGCCTCTGAGTTCAGTTTCTAGTATAATATTGAAGTAGTGAACTTCCTTGTTGCTTAAAATACTCTGACCTTTTCCCAGAGGCTGGCAGGTTTGATGCTTTTTCACCATTCACCTCTAATCTTCTGACCTGATCAGCAGTTGCCTCTGCAGTCTACAGCCTAGACAGTTACCTGCCTCTGAATAGGTCCTTTCTACCTCTTGTAGTGTACTCTGGCCCTTTTTGAAAGTTATGTTCAACAGAGACACCACACATGCTGGCTGTGTTTTCCTTTTTAATTCTTTCTGTCCATGGTAATGAGCAGAGTCTGTAGCTACCCCACTCTGGCTTTTCTTATGGGGAAAAATGGACTTTTCCCATGCCTTTGTTAAAAATACAAGACTAGAATGTTACTATTTTTAAGGTAGCTGTAAGCTTTGCCTTGCTAGTGTTTGACCAGCCCAAATGACTCTTGTGATTGAGAATAGCATTTTGTTCGCTCACTGCAGGATACGTGCCTAGGGAACATCAGCACGGACTTGGCTGTCAGGTACAGCTTCAGTGCAAATATTGAATCACTGCAGACCTGCAATTATTGGTTCACAGTCTGCATCTTGAGTTACCACATTAATTCTCTTCTGTGGTTGTCCAGTTCGTCAGTGTGACAGAATATTTTAGATGAGTTGTGAAGTTTTTGCCTAAGATCTGGAAACAAACACAACTGTTGTGATTTTCCAGTATACTATGTCTTGATGAATCCTTTCCAAGGGTACGGTAAAAGGTTTTTGTATCTCTAATATAGTTGATGCCGTGCTACGCAAGTTGACTTAAGCAGGAGCTTTTTGTGTAGAAATGATTGAAAATGCATTTTATCAATTCTCATTCATGTGTTTTGGGTTACACAGGCAGATTCTCAAAGTCTGAGAAAAGTATCATCCAGTATGTTGCTCCCAGCTGCAGAGAGACACGGAGTATGCTCCCATATTGTTTCAGGGGAACACAACAATGGTAACTTCCTGGTGGCCTAGTGTTTGTCTGTAAGCTTTTATAGGCTGAAGTGAACTTGTATGTGTCTGCCTTAGAAGTGCTGTCATGATGTGGGTGTGAGCTACACCAGTGAGATGCTTACTGCTAATTAATGCCTTATCACAGTGCTTGCCGACCAGTTTGCAAAGAAGTTGTTTGCATTATGTGCATTATTTGGACATGTTTCTATTTTCTTTGATTCAGGTTCTCGTTGCAGTGATGAAAGTGTATGTGGTTCAGGATTGACCCTTTCTGAACATTTAACTGTCTTGGATGATAATGCAGTGTAAAGACAGCTGTGATCTGGCTAAACATTTTTTTTCCTCCTAGCTCAACTTCTGATAGCTTTTTATTGTGCTGTGCATAGAGGCTAAAATAGGACTAAAAGTTCAGGTTTTGTTGCTGAGGATTTCTGTCTGTAGTTTGTGGCACTGTCTCATGAGCATCTTGAGCAAAACTTTATGAGCTCCCAGGAACTTGAAATATAGTTGTTAAGTATTTGTCGTGGACGTCTGCTTTCCATGATTCTACTAAGACATCAGTGTAAAAAGAGGGTAAAAGGCGATTATGGTAATCTTGCTAAGGTCTTTCCGTCCTGCTAGATGATCAGGTTTAGTGAAATCAAATGCTGTTTTTTAATGTTAGTTTGGGGTTTTTTGAAATATAAATTTTTTGCCATGGAGCCATGATTAGTAACATTTCGTGCACTGGCTTCATGAGAGGACTCAAACTGTAGGATGACTAACATAGAAGATTTGAGAAATATAGGCAGGGCAGTAGATTCTGTGAGTTTGGAAATGATTCAGTATTGGGAAAATTAAAAAAAAATAAAATATGGAACTGTGCTATAAATGTAGATTAAAACCAAACATCATCTGTTTCTGTTGTTCCCTTGCAAGCTAAACCACAACAATCTGATGAGGACTACCTTGATTTTACCTTGTTACACATGTATGAGATTTCTGTGTCTGCACCTATGCTTTCAATGGAAAGGAAAATGCACTTGGGGAATAATCATGGTCATAATGCTGTTTTATGATCATTCATTACCACAGATCAGCTTTGGCTTTTGAAATAATCATTTTAGAAAGCAGAATTCAATTCCTCAAAAGGACGAAATGTTTTCATCTTGTTCTGTTAACAAGCATGACCTTATTGCTTCACATACATTATCTTAGTTCTTCGATAATTATTTTTTAAATCCAAGGTGCATGATGAGAAGTATGCATTGTTCTTTTCTTGTATACTAATGCAGGTGCTGCATGATGACGTAAATGGAATGTTGATGAAATATTAGTTGTAATCTGGATGAAATAATGCCTGTGACTTGTTTCTGCTTAGTTGTAGAAACTACTGGTGTTGAATGGAGTAAAAGATACCCACAAATAAATAATATTTTCCAAAACATTTTTCACCTTCAGGTTTTTTTGAGAAACCCAACAATTCGCAGGTGAGTATTTTTTCATATCAGACTAACTACTTATTCTATTCATTAAATAGTATGTAGTTACTTTGAATTTGGTGTTTTACCATTGAATTGTCTTTCCTAGCTGAAGACTCCCAAATCTGCTTTGGAAATTGATGAAACCTCTCCTAAAAACAGACAGCAGAAGTCAGGTAATGTTCTCTTCAAGTGGTTTTGGGTTTAGCTTCATAATTTTTAGGAGTATTTAGTAAGGCATCTGTTTTGTGTTTGGCAGATCTATTGCAGGAATTGGGTTTAGAAGATGCCGAGGACATTGAAGGTACCGTAACAGTCTCTTTCTAATGTTCTTTTATGGACAGACACATTTTACTGGCAGATTTTTTCCTAATATTAAATTAATGTTTGTAGCAGGGTGTTCTGGAAGCAGGTGGTCCACTGAAATATGCACCTGTATGTCTTTGGTCCCTGCTGTAGTCTGCCATTCAACCATAAATACCCTTCTGTGACATAGGCTTCCTCCAGCATACGTGCTGTCATCTCCCGTTTTCAGGCAGTCCTGAGGTTTGCCTTCCTTCCAGTCTGCATACTATTTTTTAATATTACAAGCACTGAAAGCCGGTTGTAGCCAGGTGGGTGTTGGTCTCTTCTCCCAGGCAGCTAGCAATAGGGCAAGTGGATGAAGTGTTAAGCTGCACCAGAGGAGATTTAGTTTAGACTTCAGGAAGAAGTTCATTATAGAGAGAGTGATTGGAATGGGCTGTCCAGGGAGGTGGTGGAAATGTTTAAGAAAAGATTGGATGTGGCATTTAGTGCTGTGGTGTAGTTGACAACGTGGTCGTAGGTTGGATTCGATGATCTCAGAGGTCTTTTCCAATCTGGTTGATTCTGTGATTCTGTGACTGCCTTTCTGTAGCTCATTTCAGGTCAGCTATTTTTCCTGTGTGTCTTTAATGATTTGTCATGTTGGGTTTTACCCATGTGTTATCTTGAAGATCAGATATTGAAAAGTCCATGTGAAAATTTCTTTCAAATGTTTAGACTTGAATTTAAGCAATTTAAATTGCTTCAACAAAGCATCACCATTCCTGAAACACAAATATTTCTAACTCTAAAAGGGCTAAGTGGTCTCATTCACAAGTTTATTTAATGAATCTGGGAAATAGGTACAGAATCTTGCACAATTAAATGTTGAACAAGATGAAATTTCCCATTCTATTTACTTTGTTGCTGGCTCATAGTAATAACTTCTTAAAATCTATTTTTAGGTCAAAATTAAGTAGTAGTATTCTCACGTTTTCAGTACAGAAGGGTAGCTGCTTTGCACTTTAATCTGGAAAAAGTAATTTTGTAAGACAATTTATGAGAAGGGAAATGTCAGAAGACAGCAGAGAGGTAAAGGCTAATTGGAAAGAACACTAAAAGTCATCCTTTGATGTCGTCTAGAGAACAGGCAGAGTAAAAGGTAGGGGGATTTGCATCTTTTGTATGCACAGTGATTTGTGTTAGGCACAAAGCCAGATTCATTTAACCCCACTGCAGGTTTCAATTAAAAAAAATACATGCTAGTATTAAATGACTGGCAAAAATACAGGTTAATTCACTTGGAGGGGAGGGTTTAATATTTTTTTTTATGGCAGGTTCTTCAGAAACTTCAGACCAGTGTTCTACTAGTGTTTTAACTAAAAATTTCTCCCCATGCTAAAAGTAAAAAATCTTAACCATTAAGAGTTATCCCTCTTTCACAGACAGTTGCCAATAATACAGAAAATAGACTCTTGAATCACTGCTCTGAGATGAACTTTTATTTCCAACAGCTAGTGAGGGAAGTTCTTACATCTTTCCACTTTGTTTGTGAATTATTTTTCCAATCACTGGTAAAAGAATTACTGACACAATGAGAACTGGAATTTTGAAGATGGAATGACGTTGTTGCCTTTTGTCTTTCCCGTCTTTTTTCCTTTTTCTATGCCCATTATAGAGGAATTTCAAGATTGATTAAGCCCTATGTGAAGTAAATCTTAAGGGCTCCAAAGACCCTGAAATCTTACCTGAAGACTGAGATTTCAGATTCAAATAGCTGCTACTGAAGATTTACTGATGAGCAAGACTAAATAGGAGTTTGTCTTCTTTTGATTATAGCAGTCTTGCTAGTGATGATTTATGACACTCATACAGTAACTTCTATGGTGCTGTCTACAAATGCTCCCTGGCCACCAGCACGTCTGTTCTCTGTTTGTGCTGCTGGTTGAAGCCTTCACCTACACCAGCAAACAGCTTGGTATTGGGATATCTATAAGCATGAGTAAAGTCTAAAGCCAAGGAAAAGGGGGAAATGCCTGTGTTTCTTATAGAACATTATCCTTCAATAGTTATGAATGATTGCTGTTATTATTGTCTTTAATATACGTCAGACTGTCTGCAGTGCATCACAGTCATCAATAGATCATCATAACAAACCTGTGAAATAAGTGCTGTCAACCCACTAATGACTACTTTGTGTTGGGAAATACCTTGTGCTGAAATGCTCAAAAACCAAATCTACCAAAATATCTAGGAAATTCTACCCAGCAGTGATGGAGGTGGGAGGAAAAGGTTGTTATTTCACACTGTATAACTTGGGATTAGAATCAATTTCTGGAGACCTGTATATGAATGACTGAGGAGTTTGGGTTCCCAGTTCAGACATATGAGTTGTAACTCAAAGCTTGTAATCCCCTTAAAGAAATGAAAGCTTTCAAAAGTAGTCCCCTAAAGCAGAAAATGCCAGAAGTGAGATTGGTCCTGTGACTCATTAATACTGTGTCCTTTATTTTGTATTTTTATGATAATATCTACCTATTTTTCTCTGTCTCCCTCATCTTTCTTGTAGGAAGGGTATTGTGTTCCTCTTCAGCAGTGAAACTTTGTGTACAGAAAGGCTGTTGCATAGAAATCATAGAATTACGGAGCAGGAAAGGAGGTGCAGAGTGATTAAAGTGAAAAGCCTCCATCTCTTGTGTTTAGATTTCACACTTGAGGTGCTGGGACTTGTTTGTTTTTGAATATTGTTACTTAAAAGTATTCAGTGTGCCCAGACAGAGTGACTGCTTCTGAGAGGTTTGTGACTGTCCATATTGTATAGAAATTCTGAGAGAGGAAAGAGTGGAATCCAGTTTTCAACAGTATGAGTGAAATGTTCAGATCGCTGTTTCTCAGCGTCACACAAGTCTGTATTTCATTTAGTGTCCCATCCATGTCTCCTGCAACAGTTTGAAATACTCAGTCCAGATCCATGTTAAAGACAGATTTGTTTCTTGTATAAAGTTGGGGCCTCATAAGATTTCAAAGCTTTATAATTTTTTTCATGGTTTTCTGTGCACAGCACATAGGGAAATTAAAATTGCTGGAGGAACATAACTGGTTACTAAATAGCACACAGTGTGTCAGAGAAATTGAGATCACGCACCTTTAAGAAACAAGATTGGTTTACTTGTGCCCATTTATAGTGAATTTCAGCAAATTTCCTTTATACATTAAAGCTAAAATGCCCTGGAAGAAAGCAATTCACACAGGTAAATCTTAACTCTCTATTACAGTAATTTTCTTTGTAGGAGCTCACAATTTGGAGGGGATGTGTTACTTTATGTTAAGATTTGTCTCACAAATATGATACAAGATGCACTCTAGGTGTAAATAAGTAGAGTTAGGTCATACTGTTTATCGAAATGCTTTTTTTCTCACTGTAGGTGAGTTCTCAGGATCTACCTTTCATATGTCATCATCAACTGAAAAAGATGATGTCAAGGATGCCCTTGAAAACTATGGGGTGTGGGTATGTAACACCAAATATTTTGAATTAGAGTCTGAATCAGTGAATTGTATTATACACTAATGTAAAGAAAACTTACCAATCAGTGAATAATCCTGTAGAAATTACAGCCTGAAGTAAATGGGATGCAGTCTTCCTATGGTGGGGAAAAATCCTTATAATTATATTGGATACTTGCTGTTACACTAATTTGTTTCCAGCTGGTTTGCTTAAATTTTGTTCGGTGTTTTTCCTTTTGCGTGGTGCTGGGAAACAGTGTAGTGAAATTCTTTTTTTTTTTCCCCTTTGCAAAAGGCACATTCAAGTAAACAGGGAGATTTGTATATAATATGCTGATCTGTTTGATTAAACATACCAGGTAAAAGAAAGATGAAATTAAAAAATTAAAATGTTGTGACCTTCTTGATGCTTTCTCTGCCTCTGCAAAATACATGCTTGTTTGGCCATGTTAGTAAGTGTTTGAGAAGGGTTTATTCAGAGGGCATTCTAGAGAGGAATAAGGCAGCTTGGAATGGAATTTAAAATTTCTGCATCTTGGCTGAAGAAATAGGCCTCTTCTTAGCCAATTCTCTGTGTGGTGGACAGTAAAAAGCTTGTCATGTTGATTAACAGTGTATTAGCTTAGCTAGCCAATACACTGCCAGACAGTGGAAAACAATGGAGGATGAGAAAATGTTGGCAGTTACAAAGAAAAATGGTATTAAAGCAATAAAACATGACAAAATAAATTGCTTTCAAATGAAGGCCACCAGTTAGAGAAAGCAGACAGGCTTAAAGGTAAAAGTAACCCTAATGTCCAGTCAAGTCTAATCCAGACAAACTGTTGTCTCTAAACTAAGTCCTTCTGTTTTTAAGAAAGAGATGATTCAGTGAACTGTTAATTTAGTATCCCTTGCTTTGTATTATAAAAATTGTTTCAAAAATACCTTAATTCTATTATTTCTATTATATGATAGTATGAGTTTGCAGCAGAAATTACTTAGATTAACTGTAACTTCTTTTTTCTTGGTAATCTTTTTGTCTGTACCTGTTTACTTAAGGATAAATGTATTTTAGAAACTACCAACTTGATAGAAAAAGGAGCACATGAAAATCAGACTGACAAAGCAGAAATTTCACATCAGGAAGCCCTAGCAGAAAATGAGGAATCGCACAGTGCTGATAAGGAGTTAAGTCTGAAACCTTGGGAAGAAAGATATGAAAAACTGTGGATTGAAAAGGAGAAAAGAGAATTGAAAACAAATTTTAAAAACATTACAGCAGAATTGAAGCAGTTGTTTGGTGAAAATGAAACTGGGAAGACTGCTTCCCATGTGAAAGAAATACCAGAAGATGGCTTTGGTGAAAGATTGAAGAGTTCTTTCATTATTTCATCTCCTGTGACAGAATCAAGCAGTAAGTTAGAAAGCAAAGGTGAATTTGGAGATACTAAACTTATCCTAGATGGAAAAGTACCCCAAATGAAAATTGTAATTCCGAGTCTTGGTATCCTTCCTGATGAAAATAGTGTAAAGGCAAATGTGGAAGATACCTGGAATAGAGATGAAGAAGATGGCACTAACAATATGGATAACAGAAAGGTGTCTCTGGCAAAAGGAGAGAAAAAGAGAATGCCTACTTTCGAAATAGAAGAGAATGATAGTGGAAGTAGTGAAAATGCAGAGGAAGGTCCTGCATACTCCCTGAGACTTAGCTTAAAATCAAGTATTTTGAGTGACATTTCTAATACTCTTCCTAAAATAAGAGCTGTTTCTACAAGTGATGAAAATGCAGTTTTTGTAACAGAAAGGAAACTTGAAAAATACTCTGGATTTAATGATGATGTTCACAGGGACTGCCTTATCAACAGTAATAATATAGGAGAAACAGAAATTGAAAGTCTTTTTGCAAATGCTCAGCAATCTTGTGGCATGCTTGAAAGGAATCTTGATGAAGAACTAAAACAAGATATGGAAAGATTTAAGAGTAAGGTAGGAATGCTGCAAAAAGTATTCCTGGCTTTGGAGAAAGAGAAGGCACAGCTGCAAAAAGAGGTAGTTCACCTGCTACTCTTTATTTTTTAGGCTCTCTCCATATCAATGGTCCTGTTCACTTTAGCTATTCATCATTAAGTGAAGTTGTCTTGTGCCAATTGGTTGTTGTTTTAATGGAAACACAATACTTACGAATAAAGAGAGCAGCAGAGAGTTGCCCTTTTTGCTCTTTTCATCCTTTTTGGAAAACACAGAGTGCATTATTTTTCCAGTTTAACAGTAGGTGGCACTTAGTTCCAGTGTAAGTAGTTATCACTTAATTGACATAAAAAGAAGTGCACACAATTAAATCAGTTCTGATTCTGACACAAAGAATGAAAATAGCTTCTGAACAGGTCTTTACCAATCTTTTTATTTGCTGTGATTTCTGCATGATATGTCTTCATTGCCCTTCAGTAAAATTCCTGTTTGCTGTGAAACTATTTCTGCTTGTGCATTTGGAATCTTCTGCCCTGCCACACTACCCACTCCCCATGGAGGAAGCAGTAACCAAGGGCATTTCCACTTGATTTTTTTTTTCTGTTTTTACAACTAACGTTGTGCAGTCCTTCTAACTCTTTAATCCATCAGTAATGCTTTCAATTCTTTGTTGTTCATGCTTTAAGATACATGATTGTTTTCTTTCTGAGGACTGTGTTTCTGTTCTCTCATGGAACCATGGGTGAATTTGAAGTACCTTCAATGACAATACGCTTTGTAATGTAATTTTGTCAAAAATACTTCTCTATGTTATTTCTCTTTTCATTTTCATTTTATGCTTTTTCAGAAGTAGACACTGAATTATTCAATCCTGGATATTGGTTTCTGGAAATACTGAGAAATACATGAAACTTACTTTTCTTTTTTTAGGTTGAGAAGGAAAAAAGCAAACAAAGATGTTTGAAAATGCAGAAGGTGGCAAAACAGGAAGATGCTGCTAAATTAAGTACGCCGCCAGACAACATTACTAATAAGGAAATGAAAGAAAAGCTTACTCTAAGGAAGAATGACTATCTGAAAATGGAGAATGAAGACAGTACAGAAGAAAAGGACAAAAAGAATTTTTCAGCTGAGGAGAGGTCAAAATTAATTAAAAGGCCACTGAAAGGGTAAAGTGAAGATAAAATCTCTAATGCTTATTTGTAGCATTACTCAAGTATCTGTTAGGTTTACTAATACTTTACTAGTTAAAGTAGTGTCCTTAGTACTGGAAGCCATACTGAGTAGTCCACTGTCACGGACATTCAAGAAAAATAATTTTTAAAAAAACCCAAAACCTAAGCTCATAATCGAGGTTCAAATTTATTGCCTGTTTTAAAAAGAAAATGAAAAAAAGAGAAACCACATTCCTGTGAATTTCCTTATAATATTGAGGCAAAATGAGCCTTAACAACGAGAGTCAAACACTGAAAAAAACAGTTATTTCTGTAGGAAACAACCACACAGAAAAGCCAAGTAGGAACTTGCAGTTTATTTTGCTGTCTCCCTTTTTTAGGTGATTTTAAGTGACCTACATGCAGGTGGTGTTTTCAATAAGTTCAGATGCTCTTTGTCAGGAAAAGGGAAAAGATGATACTACCAAACCAATCTAAAAAATTTGAAGGAAGCACAGATATTTTTAGGTAATTCTAAGCAGGAGTGTTTTCTTGGCTGTGCTTCAAAGGAATGTCTGTTCATGATACTCTTTAAATAGGGATATAAGATATATTTCAGTTTTCCCGAAGTTCAGGTTGTACAATTCTGCCTCATTCCTATGGGAAGGTTTTTTAAATACTTTTAAATACTCTACCATCTTTGGACTTAAGTCTGTATTTTATCAGAGATATTTTTTTGTCTCAGTTGTTTCTGGACATCATCTTAAGTATGTCTGTTTCACAGAAATGTTTTCTGTAAAATTACTCAACTCGTGATTTATTTTTTTCTTTAATGCAGTGAATTTGCCCTGAATCCCGAAGTTGCAAAGATGAATAAAAGACAGACTTTGAAGCAGACAGATAATCAGCAGATGAGCTCCTCCAGTCGGAATCATTTTCAAACACAGGAGGATAGCACTTTCAGTGAAACATCTCAAGCTGAAGAAAGGTACTGAAGATAAGTTTTATAAATAAAACTTAATAACAAAAATTGACCTAAAGCTGAAGGGAAGTTTTTTGTAAACCTGATGTGTACAATGGTTCTTGTTCTTTCTTGTGACAACATGATCTGATGCCTTTTGTATTCCAAAACACTTATTTTTTGATCAGAGTGCTTAGAACATCCTAGCCAAGTTAATTAAAAGGTCAATGGGCATAAATGCTGAATAATTATTAAGAAAAAAGAGTCTCAGTACTGAAGAGAGCTAAACCTCTGGTATTAAACAGGGAATGCACATAATTGTGTCTGTCTACATATCTGTAGCTGTACAGTTCCTGTCACTTTGAGTGAAGTGCAGAGAACAGTTTTTTCAAGTATTTGCTCAATATCTTGTGGAAAAAAATAGTCTTCCAATAGCAACAATGATAGACAATTTTTTTTCCAGTATTCAACTACAGCTAAGAAAATTCTTATATTAAATTTTACTTCAATTTCCTTCTGAAATTAGGTTTTCAAAGCAACTTTAGATATTGTTCATAATGCAAGGTAAACATGCCAGAACTGAAATACATTTCTGTTTTCCAGACCTGCAGCAAAAACAGGGAGTGAAAAGAACAAGGTACTGTAAATTAGTTTCTTGATAAATGGTTTTATCAGCTTTTAATCACTTAGGTGGGATCAACAGCACAAATTGCTGCTAGTATGCACCTTTATCATACTTTAGCTAAGTTTATGGACTGTGAATGAGAAAATGAGTCATGCATGCATTTGTAAGGATCTGCAATACTGTATAGCTGTATACGGAAAATATTCTACTGTTTGTAGGTCGGCATGGATGTAACTGATGACCTTGATTTAACTCACTCATCTGACACAACTTCAGAGGATGTTGCATTACCAACATCCACCTACAAAGAGGCTTTGCTGCTGTTAGAGCAGCTCAGCGTGGATCATACAGGTATGTTGTAAAGTCACTTTTTCTTCAGATGTTACATGTTTCTCTTTTAAAACATGGTTTCTTTGCATGCCCTCCTAAATATTTTAGTTTCCTCGTTCTGTCTAATATTTGTTTATGGGTAGAGAACGGTCTCAAAGGATGTGAAATTATGTCACCTTAACTTGAGATGCCTCCCTGCATTGTCAGTACACTTGCTTTACTTTATCATCGGTTCTCTGTTTAGTCAGAGCTGAAGAAGCAGATTCTTGCAAATTATATTTGAGCTTCTCCTAATACATTCATTACCTGGGAAGGTAATGCATTATTCGAAACATCCCTCTGCTCCTTCTTCTTCCCCCAGCTTTATATGCTGTGCATGATGCCACAGGATCTGGGGTATCCTTTTGGTTAGTTGGGTCAGCTGTCCTGGCTGTGTCCCCTCCCAACACCTTGTGCACCCCTGACCTCCTTGCTGACTGGGTGGTAGGAGAAGCAGAAAAGGCCTTGGCTCTGTGTAAGGCCTGCTCAGCAATAACAAAACAATCTCTGTATTATCAACACTGTGTTCAGCACAAATCCAGAAGCAGCCTTATACCACTGTGAAGAAAATTAACTCTGTCCCAGCCTAAACCAGCGTACCCCACAAATGGTGCAGCAAAATAATGGCTTTACTTAAGCACATGTGCACACACACACACACGCATATATATATATATATATAAATAAACTGTCATAAGAAGGTTGCATATATACACGTAGCATTGCAGAAACGTAAGCATCACTTACATGAAGGATTAACCTTGGCTAAAGGCCAAACTTCTGTGCAGCTGCTCTCTCATTGCCTCTACCCAACAGGACAAAATAGGATGAAAAAGCCAAAAGATCAATACAAAGGCAGGGCTGTCACCAGTTACTGTCATAGGCAAAACAGACTCCACTTGGGGAAACTTACTTTGTTACAGTTTAAATTAATTTGGACCGTGAGAAACAAAGCCAAAAAAATTAAGATTCCCTCCACCCCATTCTTCACTGACCTTCACTGTTTTTCATGTTGTTTTCTCCTTTTCCTTTACCTGTGTGGTGGATTTGCCCTCTCCTAAATGTATTTTTCCCTGAGGTGCCGCCAGCATGACTGAGAGGCTCAACCTTGCCCTGCAGTGGGTCCAGTGGAACTGTGTCTGGCACGAGGCAACCCCTGACCTCTTCTCACAGAGACCTCTGCAGTACAGGCAGTCTTCCCACTACCAAAACTTTATCACCCATGCCTAATTAACACATTACAAGGTATTTGTGCATATGTGCAGCTTTATCTTTCTATCTCAAAATAGGTTCTGCTATTTTACTGAAAATTCAAAACATACTTCTTAAATATGAACAAATAATAGAACATGAAAAAAATCGGTATACAGCTGTCTGTAAAGAAGTAAGAAAATTGGAAAGTGAAAAGGAGGAATCACAATTAATAGCAGAAGAGACTCAAGATTTGAAATCTATATTGGCTCATCAAGAAGTGGAATGGAAAAGTGATATCCAAAGCCTTAAGTATGTATCCTTATGTCCTGAAAACATGTTATCTTGTTGGTATTAATGCACTAGAAGATGCTAATGATGGCTGTGGTAGGATAAGAAGTTTTACATTCTTCTGAGTTTGGGGTTTTTTAAATCCCTTATAGCAAGTTATGCTATAACTGACATAATGTCAGGGGAAAAAAAAAGGCCTGAATATTAGCTCCATCTAAAATCTTCTGCAAGTTTTAAGGGTTTTTTTTAATAACAAGAGAAAAGAACAAGAGAGTTTGTATGGGAAAATGAGATTTATAAGAGAGAAGATTTATATAAATTGTGGATGTTAGTGTCTTTGCAGCTTCTGTTGGTGTTAGGAATTCGGGTAAGTCCACAGAGTGCAACAGGAGATTGAAGGGAGTGATTATCCAGCCCTACTCAGCACTTGCTGAACTGCATCTAGAACCCTGGGTCCAATTTTTGGTCTTCTGGTACAAGAGGGATCTTAATTGATATGTGTGAGTTCAGCAGAGAGCTACCAAGCTGGTCATGGAGCAGGAACAGCAGCCCTGAGAGGAGAGGCTGAGGGAACTGAGCTTTGAGGCATTGTGCTTTCTGGTATAGGGAAGACAGCCAGTCCCAGTTTTGCCTGGATTTGACTCCAGCAGTTCATTATGGTTTAAGCCCAGATGGCAACCAGGCCCCAGTCAGCCGCTCACTCACTGCCCCACCAATGGGATCAGGGAGAGAATCAGAAGCGTATAAGTGAGGAAACTCATGGGTTGAGATAAGGACAGTTTAAAAGGGAAAGCAAAAGCCATGCACACAAGCAAAGCAAAAGAAGGAATCCATTAATTGCTTCCCATGGGCAGGCACGTGTTCAGCAATCCCCAGGAAAGCAGAGATCCATCACACATAACAATGAATTGGGAAGACAAACACCATCACTCTGAATATCCCCCTGCTTCTTCCTTCTTCCACCTGCTGTATATGCTGATGCCATAGGGTATGGGATATCCCTTGGGTCAGCTGTCCCAACTGTGGTCCCTCCCAACTTCTTGTGCACCCCCAGCCCGCTCACTTGCGGGGTGGTAGGAGAAGCAGAAAAGGCCTTGATGCTGTGCAAATGTTGCTCAGCAATAATTAAACCATCTATATTATCATCACTTTTTTCAGCACAGATCCAAAACACAGCCTCATACCAGCTATTGTGAAGAAAATTACCTCCACCCCAGCCAAAACCAGCACATGGTTTTTCAAAATTCTCAAAAATGTATCAATTACAAATAAGTAATATTTTTGTTCTAAATAAATTATCAAAGCAACGTTAGCTTTACAGTTACAAAAACTGTATTTTTTCTTCTGTGAAATTACCCTAAAAATTATAGGTAAAGCTTTCTCCTTGCAATACAAACCGCTGAAATACAAACATTGCTGTCAGTCTTCTGAATAATTTTTTAATGGCTGTTGATACTTGTTTTGCAGAATTTTTAAAGCAGATTTGCAATTGCCAGCTTTTTCCTTGTGTTAATACTTTTTTTTTCTTTGTTGACTATTGCAAGGGATATGAGAAAAGCATCCTAAAATTAATTGTGAAACGCAAAACTGCTCTTTTGTTTTATACTGTGGACAGACCATGGACCATTTCTCCCCATGTTGGTGTTTGTTGCTGATTGTTTCAGTTCATAAAGAAGTTGATATTCCCTAAGGCTTTCAGTATGAATTACCTTCAAAATTAATTGCTGGTGTTTCTCCCAGATGTAGATCCATCAAGGTTTAAAACTACTTTTAATCTCATTAAATTTAAACCCTGTGCATTTCTAAATATATTTTTGAACACTGACCTCATTCTGGAGTAAATAGAAACTGCTTGCTCTTCCTGTGGTCAGCAGTTGTTTTAGACTGAGAAAAGTACTTGTTATAAAATTGTTGGGTTTGTCAGAGAGATAAGTAATGTGCTGTTTCATCAGCATTACTTGCAATCACTGAGTCTGTAACATGCAGGCAATGCTCAGCATATTAAGAAAAGGTATATTAATCATCCTATTAGTCAAAATTTTATGATGCTTTGATCAGAAAAGACAACAAACTCCTTTTGAATGAAGTGTCTCTAATGTGAAGATAACTTCTTTAAAAATTACAGAAATGTGCATACTACTGTATATTTACCTATATAAACTTACTTACAAAGGATAAAACACTCCGTGGTTTATTTCCATAAATTATCAAACTGATACCAAGGATAATGGAAAGAAGTTAGAATTCTTTAAAACGTTAAAAATTCTAGAAAAAATATAAAATCTGACAATATTTAATATTTTTATGGTTTGTCTCTGCAAATTCATAATGTGGATTATCTACTTTTTATATCAATTCTTTAGTTTCTCAACTATTCTGTTAAATCCCAGATTTACTTTGAAACAAGAAGAGGAAAAGAGGGTCAGAGTAGAAGCACTCTATGAGAAAACAAGAGAAAAACTCATAAGGCAAGAAGAGCAATATTGTAAAGAGGTGGAGGAGAAACAGCAACTTGAGTTACAATCAAGAAATTTAGAAATGGAGTTAATAACACTGAGAAAGCTCTTGAAACAGGTATATTAAATAATCTGTTATACACTTGTCTTCTTATTTCCTACTTCTTTTTTATTGGTGTTGTGTTTCTGTATGCCTAAAGGAGGAGGTATTTAGTTTGTGGACAAGGCATTGGATAACTGCTGCCAAATTGTAAGAACAGTTGGTTTCCAAGAAGTCTGTTGGTTTTTTTTTTTTTTTCTCGTTTGTATTTCAGGTAAAGCCAAACTTTGAGTTATTTTTCTAAATTCCTTCAAAACTTCCTGTATTTCTTCTTACTTTTTCAGAAGAAAATGAAAATTTATAGGTGGATTATTATAACTATGGGGAAGCAAAAATATTTGCAAGAATAAAATTGAAAATGGGAAGATATTACTAACTCTGATTTTTCTCAAGGTGCAAGTAGTTTAACTGTGTTATTGTAGGTTGAAGAAGAGCGTGATGAAACCCAGAGACAGCTCTCTCAGGAAAAGAGTGCCAGAGCCCTGCAAGAAAGCATTTTGAACAACCACCTTTGGAGACAAAAGGAACTAGAAGAAGAGACAAGAAGAACTATAGGAAAAAATTCAGATGTAAGCAGACTTTACCCCTAATTAATTAAACTTTATCATGTTCATTTTCAAGTCATAATCCTATATACATTTTTCTGCTTTTTGATGGATTATTTACAGTTTACCAGTGTAACTTCACTGTGTGAATACGTCTTCCATTTTCCCTTATGTCTTTAAAAGTTCTGGAAAGCAGGATCAGTCCTGTGTGTATTTTAATTGCATGTGCAAGTAGAAAACCACTAGAAAGCACTATTTACACCATTTTTAAACTGTCCTGTTTTTCATTTCCCAGACATTTTATCATCACTTTTTAAGATTTCTAGCAGTGAAACACCTAGCTACTTACATTCAGGTTGACCAGGAAGAAAGTTGTTTGATATTCACTCTGTGTTCCCATTATTTGTTTTTTTAATTACTTACTCCCTTATCAAACTTAGTTACTTTAGTGTGCCTTTCTTTTCCACCTCCCCATATTAAAATTTTGTGAAGGATAAGCAGTGAATGAAATTCTCTGTACTCATTAGAATAATTGAAGGAGAAAAAGTGGTCCTGAACACTGTCTTAAAATCTGAATTTACTAAGAATGTGCAGTTCTTGGAAGATTTACTTATTTTTGGCTATGCTGCCCAATTAATGTTGGTTGGATATTTTTATGGGGGAAAAAAGTTTTGTAATAAACAGGCAATATACAAGACTCTTGCATTCCAGGGATGATTCGGTTGTATAGCTAACTTTCAGTAATGCTAAAGAAAAAATGTTAAAAAGATGTTGAAGGAAAACACCCTCTTTAGCCTTGATTTTACCAGATTAGTAACACAGGTAAATTAAAGGGAATATTTTAGAGGCATGAACACACACATAATTTTAAAAGCTTTATACCTGAGATATTTTAAATACTTTTAGTTAGTTGCTGATTTAAGCTAAAAAAAAAGCATTGTGTATTTGGGGTGTTTATTTATGGGTATGTTACACTTTTCATTCTGTGCATGTGCATGGGTTCATAGAGTAGCTTATATATCTCCTGAAATTTTACTCTTATCTTTGAAGTCATACTTCACTATTAGAAATGTTAAAATGCAGTTCAATGCTGAAGTATTTCTGTAGATGTATTTCCCATCTGGCTATTTATTCATGTTCCCTGTCATTCAGGAATCCGACACTGAAAGAGAAAAGGATCTGTTGTACAAAAATCAGTTACTGCAAGATGAGATTGCTGTGCTAAGACTAGAACTTGATCAAATAAGACTTAGGCACCAGGAGGAAGAAGGAAAATATTTAGAGGAAAATGAAACCTTGAAAGAAAAAAACGAAGATCTCAAAAAGGAACTTAAACTTAATGAGGAAGCCTTAACACAAACAGTTTTTCAGTACAATGGACAGCTGAACTTACTAAAGACAGAATCTGCAATGCTAACTTCCAAACTTGAGCAAACAAAAGAAAGCAAAGACAGACTAGAGACAGAAATTGAATCATTTCGTTCCCGCCTGAACACCACTGTTCAAGAGCTTGAACGTCATCAGTCATCAAAAAGTGATGCCGAGCGAACGTTCCAGAGAGAACGTGATGAATGGCTTCGCTTGCAAGACAAGCTGCATCATGACCTCTCTGATGTGCGAGAAACCAACAAGAGCTTGTCTCAGCAGCTGAGTAAAGCTGAAAGCAAAGCTAATGGTCTAGAAAATGAACTTCACCAGTTGAAACAAATGCTCAGAGAAAAAATAATGCTTTTAGAAATGACACAAAAAGAATTAAGTCAAGCCCAGTGTCAGGCAAAGGAATACGATCAGGCTCGACAACTCGAGAAAGATCAAGTAAGCAAACTTACAATAAAGCAGGAATCCATGCAGGAGCGATTGGCCCAGCTCCAGAGTGAAAACCTTTTGCTCCGTCAGCAACTGGAAGATGTGCAGAACAAAGGGATCATCAAAGAAAAAGTAGTGAATGATGTACAGGATCGGTTTAATGATATTTTCAACAAACTCAGAGCTGATACTGAAAAGCAAGTTTACCTCGTGGAAGAGAGAAACAAGGAATTAAATGCCAAGTGTGCTGATTTAAGAGAACAAGTCTTCAAATATGAGACTGACAAAATAGAGAGAGAGGTAAAATCAAGACTTTGAAAGAACAAGTTTGTCAGTTCTTGAAATTATTTTGTGTTTCTGAAGCGTACCAGTTATAAGCTATATGCATGGGTCCAGATAATGCTGATTTGTTCTGGTTTGTTGTGTTTCTCTTGAAATAGTGGAAGGTTTTGGCAAATGGGATCTGAGCAGAGAACAGAAAAAAGGTATCCAAATTTAAGCTTTGATGAAAAAATGTAATTCTTCTCTAGAACTTTTTTCAACTTTTCCTCAGTCCATTTTTTGTCCTATGGAACGGGTTTATGCACTTGATGGCTTTTATAAGCATTGCACTCATGACACAAATAAGAGTGGTATAAAAGGAAGAACCATCCAGTATGTGAGGGTTGAGAAATGAAAATGCAAACAAGTGAATTGACATAGAATGGATTTATATTAAGTTCCTACAGAGAAAAACCTCTTCTCTGTAGATAACTATCAAAATTAAAAAGTATTATACTATTCAAGTGTTAATTTATGTATGTTCTCAGGGTTCTAAGGGGTCTCTGACTGGAGAATGTATTATTATATATGTTCCTAGAAGTAGGTGGAGTGTTCTTTATTGATAGAGTATTCTACCAATTCCAGGTAGAGCAATGACTTAAAAATTGCCTTGCCCATTTTGTTTACTCTCCCTTACTTTCTGGAAAATAGGAACTAATCACATTCAGTATTTAGACACAGCGGTGTAAGGTTTGTCTCCCTTAATGAGTTGAATAGTGATTTAAAATTACATTTCCTTCTTCCTAATAAATGTAGGATCTTTGAGTGAGGTTAATATCTGCATGTTTCATATAACAACATTATTCTTCATTTGTCAGTTATTTTAAGGTGTGTGTGGGGAGAGAACTCCAGCAGTACTGTCCATAATTTTAATCAGTGAATTGCTTTGTATTCTTAGTACCAAAATAACAGGTTCTTTTTGAAAATACTATATTTTGGTAAACCTAATATGTCAGTATAAAGGCAGTTGTTATTCTAAAATATAGTCAGTAAGACAACTGTAAGGAGATGAGATTCAATATAAAGTATATCTCAAAAGAGCTTTCAGATATATGTATTAATTTAATTATATTTTTTAAAGGGAGGAATAGAACAAAGAATGATATGAAGTCCTGCTTTGGTCATCAGAGTAGTATCTGCAGTCACACTGTGGCTCTTGCATTACAACAGATTTCTTTGGATTATGTTAAAAAAATTCACGATGGCAGTGTGTGCTTGTGCCTGGTTTCAAGAAGAATAGTACTTGAACTTTTTATGTGTGTTAGGAAATATGAAGAGCTGATGACAGCTTGGAGGTGCTCAATTGAGAAAGATGGAGCAGTAATTATCTGTGCACATGCCTGCTGGTGGCAGGCAACATTTCATACCTTTGAGTTCAATCCAAAGACAGGTCTAATTGAATAATCAAATAAGTCATAGTAAAGGCTTTTTTCATGTTCCTAATCACTTTATTCATGCTCATTTAACTGTTTCATTAGGGCATGGTCAGACAGCTGCAGCAGGAGCTTGCTGATGCTCTTAAAAAGCAATCTATGTCAGAAGCTTCACTTGAAGTTACTACACGCTATCGCAGTGACCTGGAGGAAGACAAGCTGCGCTTGCAAAAGGAATTGGAAAAGGTTAAAACCAAGGTACACAATGTCTGTAATTATATTAATAAATCTGAGAGTGGCTATTGAAAGC